TCTTTTTTTTTTTTTTTTGGTAAGTTACAGCGAAGCAGCCCATCTTATTCCTCTTTTGGTGGTCCTATATGAGACCACACAAAAACCCGGCACTGGAAAGTGCAAAAAATACCTCTAGGGAGGAACAAAACACGAGTCTCACGAGTTCCTGAAACTTGTGCTAAAATATTCTAGAGAAAATAACGATCAGATCTTGAAAACCACAATATTAGTAGCACATTTTCACCATCATCATCTTAACAGGTTGCACGAGTCTATCTATTATCAATGATGTATGTATAAAAATATCATCATGATATTGTTCTGTTGCAGCAGCTTTGGAAGAATCCTCTGAATCCGTTTAAGCGCCAGCATGGACAACCATAAAGAGACATACAGTACATACATAAACATGCACACATACACACTTTTAAAGTGAAAAAGAGTTAACACAACAGTCTAATTCAAGCTGGACATTTCAAATCAGTATTTCAATCAAAATGAATCAAGTACCTGGCTAACCCCAATGACAAAGCTTTATACAGCTTCCCAATGTATTTCTATAAAACAGACATGGCTTAAATTAACGTTTACATGAAAGATCAAATGGCTTCTCATGTTCTTTTACAAAAAGATTCCTTGTTTTACAGACGCCACCGATCTAAAATGATTGGTTGAGAACTTGCATCTGTAAAGTTGCATCGATCCGGTTTTGTCTAAAGGCAGCAGCCAAGGCGAGCACAGAAAAAACGTATGGGACACAATACTAACATTCGGTCCTGAGACTAGACCTTTAGAGTTTACATTCTTAAGCCCAAGATTCTTGTATGTCTATCTCTGTTGAACTGAACGGTGAACATCTCTCTTCTGGTGCGCAGTATAGAAATCACCTGAGTTTCAGATAGGGAGGTGTGTTTTTAGGATCTCTCTACACACGTGTGTTGGTTTGGGACGTATTGTGGTTATCCTGGGCTCAGATGAGAAGGAAAGAGATGGGGATGATGGATGGATAAGGCTCTGGTATAAAATGTCATGGTCATCCTTGGTCATCTCCAGCCTCATCTGTGCAAACTCACATTCTATCTGCTTCCTCTGGTAGACCTCGAGGGCTCGTGTTGTTGAATTGCACGTGTAAAACTGCTTTCATTCTCTTTATAGCTACAAACTACACTCTGTAAATTTTTCTGTACTGTCTCCTGTTCCTGGTTCTCCCCACCCCATTATATTCAAAGTGAATTGTTAGATTAGACAGCTCAGTTCTCAGGTCCACAGGTTCAAACAGACGGCTGCTGCATCGTGTCCTCCTCGTATGGAGAGGGGCTGCATGGATGAAGTTGTTAATCATCCACAGGCAGCTTGTCATCCAGCTCTAACTGACTGGCCTGCTGTTCCTCGATTTTCCCAGAATTCTGCATCAGCTGCCGTCTCTGCACCTCGGCCTTCAGATTCTCCAGGTCCTTTTGGCTGTGTGAAGAATCAAGTGTGAATTTAGTTTTTTCAACTTACAGCCGAATCATATATTAATATTTAAACTATAATATACTGTTGATGAAAAAAATACCACTGCAAGATATTTATTAACAAAGTTGGAAAATGTGTATGTAGAGAAGAACAGAATGAATAGAATATAGAATAGAATAATAGAATAGAAAAATTATATTATATTATATTACATTATATTATAATATAATGAAGTATTACCTACATATATTGTAAGTATATAAAGTATTAACCACATATATTATTAATAAATCAGGCTTGTATTTATATATAAATATTATTTTGTCTTTAATTGCAAGAGTTTGTAAGACACATTATAAGCAGAGTAACCTATTTATGCAATATGCAATGCTATATCTTTGCATATTATACTACATACAACATCTAACCTAATATAATCTTATATATATATATATATATATATTTATTTTTTATTTTTATTTTTTTTAAGTAGCTAATTCTTCATTATCTAAGCCCAGGGTTTCACATTAATTGCTTAAAAAGGACAGTTAATTCCCATATCGTGTTTTGGTTATACTGGTGAATATTTTATGTGTTTACTAATTAAAAAAAAAACAAAATGGTTGGTTAAAGTTCAAAGGTTTTTGTCAAATAAAATAACATGCCATGCCAATCCTGGTACAATGAAACATTCAATTAAAGAACTGACATGACAAAATATTTAATAGACATATTTAACCAAAAGACGAAAAATATAACTTGGCTGGCTAAAACAAAATGGTGTAAACCTTTGCTCACCTGAGGGGAATAAAGATGATGCCATTGATGATATTAAGCTGTTCCAGAACACTGGCCATGCTTGGTGCTGTAAACTACAGAGACAAACAAAATAAGCCATCAACACACATCCTGGCAAGATCATGTAACAACATTTTCAGGGCAGCTGAGGTGTGACTGACCTTGAGAGGCATTATGCTAGCGTTGGATCCGTTCTTGTAGATCTCATTCATGGTTCTCTGTAGAGCCACAGCCTGCTGCGTGAGGTACTTCAGGTACTCTGAGCTCTCCTTCGTCTTCTCATGAGCTTCACCAACCTTAAACACAAGTACATTGTGTTTGCATTAACACTTATTATAATACTATTCTATACGTTAGTGTACTACAACCTCATTATTAAAATCAGCCTTGTATTTATATAGAAAGCCTTTGTATTTGTATATTTCACGGGTAAAATCCAGTCATTTCAATGGGAATACACGCAATCAGAAATTTTGTGTGAGGGTGAAACATTCTCCAAAACAGATTTCGCATGGGCTTCTCGATTTGAAAGTGACTTCATACATTGTTGCACTATTGACAACAGTAACTTAATGTATCATTAAACATTTTAGCAGGTTCAATCCATATTGAATAGCAAATCCAATATACATGAATGGTTGGTTGTACCTGGTTCTTGTATATGGTATAACCCTCCTTCTCATGCTGCAGGGCAGAGCGGAACTCAGCCTTGCTCTCATATACTCTGGCCACCAGGTGATGACTGCAGAAGAACAGAGATGAATGTTACTATTTATTTTGACTGCATACGACACCAATGATTTGAACTAGTGTGTAGTCAGGTGTATGTACCTGAGAGCTACTTTCAGGGATCGTGGGCCATGGTATTTGGAATTGATGGCCAGGGCGTTTTCCAGGAACCGCAGAGACAGGTCATACTCCATCACACCATGAAGCACCAGACCAATATTACTCTACGTCAGAGAAAGATCACAGTGAGAGGTTGGCTTTGCTCCACAAGGCTCAACTTAAGTGACTACAGGAATTCAATTTCCTCTCGTCAGCCTTTCAGGTTTTACGTCAACGTGATAGTCAGTGATACTCAGTACACTCTGTTTAGTTCTTTGCTAAACTAAGGATGAGTATAGGTTCTGCACCAAAGGCTTACATCGAGCAGAGCCATTTCTGGATGGTCCTCCCCACACACCACGAGCATGAGGTAGCGAGCGCGGTACAGCAGCTTCAGGGCAGTGGACAGGTGGCCATTGGCAAAGCAGTACAGAGATAAGTGCATCTGTGGAGAAGATTTACAGTTCACAGAAACTAGTTTGAAGTTCATTTAGTATATTCATTTGTAGTTTATAGTAGAATATTTGTACATTTTCTGAGCAGGCAGCAGAAAATGATGTAGATGCTTACATATTCTTGAATAGTGTTGGGGTGTTCAATACCCAGCACTCTCTCACTCATCAGGACAGCCTTCTGCTGATTGCTCAGAGCCTTGAAAAGAGGGGGGGAAATCTTGTGATGAAATAAATGGAAGTAGTATGGAAATTATACAGTGAGGAGGAAAAAAAAAAAGTAGTTCACATGTATGCTGGGGACTTGTAGGCTGATTTTTTTTGCACCCATTTCAAAATAATTAAATTTAGTTGTTTAAATTTTTTGTGGTTTAAATTTTTTTAAATATGGTTTAATGTTTTAGCAACTAGTCTCAAGGATATATTTATTTGATCAAAAAATACTGTCAAATTTACAGTAAAACCGTAATACTGTAAAATATTGTAGTAATTTAAAATAACGGTTTTCTGTTTGAATATATTTTAATAAAAATTTTATTTATTCATATGATGAAAAGCTGAATTTTCAGCAGCCATTACTCCAGTCTTCAGTGTCATCATTCTAATATGCTGATTTGCTACTCAAGAAACATTACTTATTATCAATGTTGAAAACAGTTGTGCTGCTTAATATTTTTGTGGAAGCTGTGACTTTTTTTTTTTTTTTTGAATTCTTTGAATACAAAATTAGAAAGAGCATTTATTTGAAATAAAAAAAAAACTTTTGTAAAATTATGTCTTTAATGTCATATTTGATCTATTGAATGCATTCTTTCTGAATAAAAGCATTAATTTCATTTTTTTTTATATTACAGCCCTCAGTCTATTGAATAGCAGTATCTACATATATTAATTTCACTACATAAACATTAATTAATTTCAGTGTCTGGAATGACACATCATGCTTTATAATAATGTGCTGCTACACTGTAATCTCAAGTTAGTGATAATCAGCTCACGTCTTCTGATCTTTAAACTCTCTAACATTCAGATGAGCTGTTACTCAGCATTCTTGTAGTGGAAATGTATTGTGATCCGGTAATCATGGCAATTCCTTCAAGGGAATGAGAAAAGTGATCATTAGTCCAAGCTTTACTGGCCGGCTGTCTTGTTCCGCTTAATATTTTTGTGGAAACCTTGATTCATTTTTTTAAGATTCATAGAAAGTTCAAGAGAAGAGAATTTAGAAAAAGGAAATTTGAAAATTAATCAATTTCTGTGCTGTGTCCGTGCTGAATAAAAATGTATTAATTTCTTGAAAAAAAAAAATCTTACTGGCACCAGACTTCTGAACAATAGCATACATTCGTCAAACCAATAATTTAGCTAAAGCATAAGATCAAAAGTTTTTTTAAATAATTAGAAACAAATTTAGTCACTTGTAACCGAACATTTGACTGTTTTTAGGATGTACCTCAGGATGATCACCCATGATGTAGTTGAGTCGGGCCAGAAGGCGCAGACAGGCACAGATCTCCACATGCATGGCTCCATACACATTGTTGAAGAGGTTCAAGGCCTCGTTGATGAGCTCACAGCCCTCCTTTAGGAAGCCTTTGATCAGAGCACACATCAAATCAGCATTCCAAAACCATCGTATGGGAAATTTCATTGATAGGGATGTGTTTTAATGTACCTTGCTGAACCTTGGCCTGCCCGCTTTGGAAGAAATGGAAGGCATCAGAGGCTTTGGGGTTGACGTGCTTAACGACGGGGAAGATGTTTAGGATGTCCTCCTCGGTGAAGGCCGGCTTATGGCGGCTGTCGAAGTTGTACTCCTTTATCAAGATCTGCAGGGGAAGCACAAAGGAAAGCCTTGTCGCTACAGGCCTTATGAAGCACCTCAGTGACAAGAAGCGAGATCGATAAGAGCACTACCTGAACGCCCGTCTTGATTGATATCTCCCTCAGCAGGGTGAGCTTCTGCAAGCCGTACTTCTCCACTGCTTGGTCCGCACTTTCACTGTGAAACATAAAAGCACAACACCATTAGTCCTTGGACACACCAGGCTAATGAAATGCTTGGAGTTTGTTTGAACTAGTTCTCACCATTGTAGACTGAAGTGATAGTAGCTCTGTGCCTCAGAGTTAACGTTCTTCCACAGCTCACTAGGTGTCAGACTGGCCCATGTTGTGTTGTCCCCTCCACCAGGGACCCGGTTACGCCTCTTACGGCTCTTTCGGCGGGACACCAGCTCATCCGCAGGGAGGTGAGCCACGGCATCTGAGAAAGAGCTCAAGAGGCAGTTCAGGAAGTGGCTCACGGCAGCGGATAAAGCAGAGAGCTCCACACCCTGCAAATCACAAGCACAAACATTAACAAAGGTTAATGCCTCTATTAAAACAATCAACAGCTACTAAAAAAGTAAAAGTACAAAGGTATTGCCAATGTTTTCTTTTTGGAAGTGTTTAATGGCTATACAACCATCTAAATAACACCATGGTAAATAGATATGGGAATCATTCATTTCCATAGTAAGGTACACCAGGTTTGGGTCAGTAAGAAAGAAATTCTTTTTTTTTTCAGCAAGGATGCATTAAATTGATCAAAAGTGACAGTAAATACATTTATAATATTTAAAAAATTTATAATATTTATTTCAAATGAATGCTGTTCTTTTGAACTTCCTATTCATTAAAGGATCCTGAAAATACTCGGTATACTCGGTAAACTGTTTCACCGTTTCCACAAAATATTAAGCAGCACAATGGTTTTAAACATTGATAATAGTAAGAAATGTTTCTTGAGCACCAAATCAGCATCATTTCTGAAGGATCATGTGACACTGAAGACTGGAGTAATTGCTGCTGAAAATTTAGCTTTAAAGTCCCCCTGTAGTCAAAAATGTTATCCTTTAAAACTAATCTTTGATCATCAAAATGACATATTTAAATGTTTTTTGTTGTGAAAATAATTTTCTCATGCCTTAAAATAGCTTGAATGTAACTCTACACCCGTGCCTAATTTACTATACTCGGATCTATGAATACGCAAATTAGCCCCGCCTCCACTCAGTCACACACCAGCCAGCGCCTCCTGATCCACTAACTGTAGTACACTAACTGAACTGTAGTAAACGGGATACAATGGCAATGGCAAGTGGAAATATTGGTTTAATTAAGCCATATGTGTTTGAACCAGAAATAAGCTGGTATGCTCAACGTAAGCAAGGAGACTGATGGCTAACTTCGTGAGGTAACATTATCTGTTTGCGCTGGTTTGTACACGGATAATGACTAATATAACTGTTTTTACTAGCGGACAACTACAGTGGATACTGTGATATTCGTTAAATTTACTTACTTGACGATGTTGTGTCCTCAAAATGCGCCTTCTCACTAGACCCTCTGCTTTGCAGCACAATTACACAAATAAATAAGCGCCAACAGCACATGACATCGTGAAAATAGGGGGAAATATTAACAGTTAGCGAAACATCTACAGAAAAATTATAACTTTTACCGGATTAACCTGGCTGTCTTCTCACTAGACCCTCTGCTTTGCAGTCCAGTTAATGATATGCTAAGGGTAGGATCCCTTGACGTGATTGGTTATTGAATTTTGAGACGTAGCAAAAAAAAAAAAGGCCGTTTCAAACCATGTTTCTGTGACTGCCTTTGGGAAACTACAGTTTTAAGGAGAAAATACTCAGCAATGGTGTTGATAAATGGATTGGCACATGGTTTGTCTAAAAGCATATTAAAAACACCACATAGACAAATAAACAACATAAAAAACTTGATTTTCACCCCAGGGGGACTTTAAATAATAACAATAATTAATAACAGCTTTAAAAAAATAATAAAAATACTTTAAATTAATTTAAAAAATAAATAAAATTATATTTAATTGTAATAATAATGCACTATATCACTGTTTTTACTGTATTTTTTGATTAAATGTAGTCTTGGTGAGCATAAGAAGCTTCTTTCAAAAACAACAACAACAAATCTTACTGACCCTAAACTTTTGATTGGTTGTGTGTATGTACCATTGCATTGCTGTCAATGTATAGTAGTAACTTACCTGAAGATATGTTTTGAAGATATGCTTTGCACATCTGGTGATCAGCTCACTGATTCCAATTCTCTACATGTACAAACGCAACAAATTAAATACATAGTCTTTATTATAATGTTAAAAATAAAGCAAAAAATATTTTTGTAATATATAAATTGATCCTTTGCTTACGTAGATATGTTCAATTTGTGCTTTTGCAGGCATGTTGTCCACAAACTCCAGCACAGTACCAAGATAACGCACATTAATGCCACGCTGATGAAGGGCTTCTGTCATCGTTGCTCCATCCATAGGCAAAGAGCTGTGATCTAAACAGTCTTTTACCTGTGAATATTATTCATAAATTTAAATATTTATTGAAAAGTTGGTTCGATTATCATATTTCTGTAGCCGTCATTTTATAATAGCGATAAGCCACGAGGCAGTGCATTAGAATGACTCCACCACAGCCACTCATGGATTATTACATTTTCTAATGGTTAATAAACCTATGTGAGAACGCAGTGACTCACAAAAGAGGGAATCTGGCAGGACACTAGGAAGGCTGCAGCATCTTTGAGAAGCTGCTTCTGTTTCTGGATGTCATCAGTGCTGTCATCAGTGAAGCGAACGCCTGTAAGTGATGGATGAGGTCATGTGACCAACACTGCCTATATTGTCAAAAAGACAAATCACAATCCACATACAAAATATAATGTCTTCCATACCTGGAGAGAAGATATCTGGGTTGAAGCGAATGTCGAAAGAGGTGTTGCTGATGGAGCCCACAGCTTTACAGGCGTTGAGGACCACCTCTTGACTTTTGGGGTCTGTGAAAATGTTCCACAAAAAGTCCAAATTAATTCTAGCTAACAACTACTAAATAACCACCTCCACCATAAAAAGTAGAATATATAATAATAAAAAAACAACAACACACCATCAACTAACAATAAAATAACAAAATAACTGATAATCATGATATGGTGTTTGGTTGAGTCAGGGGTTTTCAAACTGGGTCCAGGGAAGAGTTACTACTAATAAAAAAATAATACTTATAATATTAACAATAACAATAATAATCATTATTATTATCATTGGTAACTAGTACAAATAAAAAGTAAAATATGTAAATATTTATTTTAAATAAATAAATATTTAAATTTTTATTGTAATAATAATTATTAATAAAAAAAAATACAAATAACAAAAATATTATAAATACA